CATATTGAAGTGGGTTGAAAACTATTATGCACCTGGTGCATAGAAAAACCGGAAAGCACCGGATAGCACCGAAATACCGGAAAGCACTCAAATTTCTCATAAAAACATATGAAAACGTTAATTAATCGGCTTGAAAGTGTTACCAATCGATTTATTAGATCAAAATCTTTCAGACAAGTCATTTTTATAAATATATATTGATAATTATTACGAGTATTTAGGAAAATAGATATATCGAGTGCTTTCCGGTCCTGTTAAGATACATGTACATTACCGGATAGCAATATTGTTTATCCAATTAATACATGAAAACTTTATTGTAATTATATTATGATTATTTTTACGATTATTTAGGAAAATAAGATATAAAGAAAAACTTATGAATTTTCGTTCAGTTCTGTCTTTATTTTTAACATACTATGTGTACCGAAAAGCAATGTGGTCATCAGTGGAGGACAGTAGTTGTTGTATTGTTTATCACACGTGCTAATCCATGCTGATTAAAGACCTTGTATATTGTAGCACAAAAAGGTGATGATTTAATCAATTTGTACACAATTATGATAATTGAGAGTACCGACATGCACATCAAAGTTGCATTAATTAGACACTGTCCTTTACATGCACATTAAATTAGATAATTAGAAAATGCAATTAACTACACACTCTTTTGATATAAAAATTAATTTTGTTTAATGAAGATTATTACGGCACTCATGAAAAGAAATGTTTGTAACGGATATATACGAAATCTCTTAGAACTTTATATCAAGGTGCTATTAAAATTTACTCTTATTTGAATAAAATTGTATATAAACCTCAACAAAATTAATCCATTACCATAATTTTTATGTAAATGCTATTAAATCTAAATTGGAATATCTCTTAAATAAAATATCAAAAATCATGACGGAGTATCCGTGCATTGTGTGTACATTAGAATGTGCTGATGATACAATTCAGTGTTCAAATTGTAAGAACTGGTTGCATCGTACTTGTACAAATTTAAGTGACATTAAGTCCTGGTCGGATAGAAATTTAGTATATCTATGTAAGTGCTGTGCATTCCGTGGATCGGATTATGATGCTGAAGGTGCTCTTACGAGGTAAGTACAAGTTTTATTATACTCTTGGTGAATGTCTTACCACTAGAAAATGTGAAGTAAATTTAATAATAGTAACTTGTAAATTATTTCTTGAACCTTTTTACTTTGCCTAAAAGCTTAGTACATCATTTGGAGGCATGTTAATGCATGATATAGTGGCAAGACAATCGTTAAGACTTATCATATATGAATATAGAAATTTATAATCAACATTATTTTCTAAATGTAATCCGAAGAAGAAGAAGAAGACATATTATATCTGTTGATGTATTCTATACTTGAACCCATTCTATTACTAACTTACGTAATTTATGCGCAGAACCTGAAAATTAAATGGCACATATAACAAAAAATATTTTAATATGTAAAAAGCTTTATTGATAAACAAATGACAATATAAATCTGGATTTCTTTCGTAATATATGTTGGGCCCTTAAAAGGGCCGTTTTTAAGCTACACAAAACTCTGCGTAGTTTGCACTGATATTTGTGCATGCCGTTATTACTCGGTGTTTTACCCTCTAGATGCACGAGATCTCGCGCATAGTCCCCAGGAAATTTTATGTTAGGAAATCTCAAGAAATTGTTTTTGAAAGTTTTTGCCAAATTCTTATTTATGTGTGCCCGCTGTTTATCAAAACATTTTTTGGCTAGCCCCGGACACTTGGAAAAATCACCACGTGTCAATATCTCACATACAATGACCGATAACATTGACATGACATTCATTTTGTTGTCTGGAATTGCAAATTTTTCATACGTACGTTGCAAACATTTTTTTCTTCTTCACAGTGCCTGAAAATTTTTGTTGGAAAAAATATGTTGAACATAAATATTAAGTATCAATATCAATGTATATTATATAAAACTTATATCACGACCGCAATAGTAGGTTCGAGTGTGTCTTAAGATGTCATTTATGCTCATCAGGCTATAGTCTAGCCCATACTGAAATGGATTTACCATAATATAATATGCATTGATATTAATATTACATAAAAAAAATCTAGGGGTCTGCCTATGTATATATATTTTGTAGTTTTATATGTATATAATAATGAGATAGTTATTTGTTGATTTTGTTTTTAAAACATCACTGTTTGTAAATATAATTAAATTATAAGTTTAAATGACATTTCAATATCATATATAATACCTCAAATAATCAATCAGTTAAATACATCCAGTTATTGTGTATTATTAACACCTCTTTAAATGTGATAATTAAATCAGCGTGTGTCCGTTCAATCAGCGTGTGCCCGTGTAATAAACGAGGCGTGAAGTGTGCCTTGATTGATTTCAATATCATACTTATTTTTCAATTATGTATGTATATATGTTTGCTAAGTTCTGTTTTATATCTGTTTATTTTGTTCTTAGTAATTAGTTTCGTTTATTTTTATTTATTGCACTGTTTATTGTCAAAAATAAAAAAAAACATCACTGAAACAATTATTGTTCTTCTCTTCCTGCTATTTTGAATCCTCTTGTCTTCCATATAGCCTACAACAAATAAATATATTAGACAAGGTACATACATTTTAAATATTTATATACCATCGGTATGTCTGAGGTAAGAGGCCCAGTGCTTTTCGGTGATGTATTACTATTACTTCACAGGACCGGAAAGCAATAATGGAATGTGCAGGACCGGAAAGCACTCGATATATCTATTTTAATATCTATTTTAAACTTTTTTATTCGTAATATTAATTATAAAACAAGAGCTGTCGGTAGGACAGCATGCTCGACTATTCTTAGTGCTTGATAGTAAAAAAATGCCTGATACAGTTACCTCCTCCTGTCTACAGGTTGGGGTCATGATGTTGAACAAGTGTGCAAAGTTTCAAAGCCATATGTCTATGGACTTTGAAAATATTTGAACTATTACAAAAACTTTAACGTAAATTCTAAGTCGAAAAAGGGGCATAATTCTGTCAAAATGCTTGATAGAGTTACCTCCTCCTGTCTACAGGTTGGGGTCATGATGGTGAACAAGTGTGCAAAGTTTCAAAGCCATATGTCAATGGACTTTGAAAATATTTGAACTATTACAAAAACTTTAACGTAAATTCTAAGTCGAAAAGGGGGCATAATTCTGTCAAAATGCTTGATAGAGTTACCTCCTCCTGTCTACAGGTTGGGGTCATGATGGTGAACAAGTGTGCAAAGTTTCAAAGCCATATGTCAATGGACTTTGAAAATATTTGAACTATTACAAAAACTTTAACGTAAATTCTAAGTCGAAAAAGGGGCATAATTCTGTCAAAATGCTTGATAGAGTTACCTCCTCCTGTCTACAGGTTGGGGTCATGATGGTGAACAAGTGTGCAAAGTTTCAAAGCCATATGTCAATGGACTTTGAAAATATTTGAACTATTACAAAAACTTTAACATAAGTGGTTACGCCGACGCCGACGCTCGGGTGACTGCAATAGCTCTACTTATTCTTATCGAATAGTCGAGCTAAAAATAATGTCTGGGAGATTTTTTCCTAATAAATCTCTTGGTAACGTTTTCAATTCAATACAATGAAGGTTGTACGTTTTTTATGGAAAATTCGAGTGCTATTCGGTACATATACTTAACAAAACCGGAAAGCATTCTCAATTTATTTAACATTCATAAATCTTTTAAATAATCATAGAATTTAGAATAAAACATGAAATAATACTGTATCATACCTAATAAATCGATTGGTAATATTTACAATACAATTAAACAAAGATCTTATGTGATTGTTTGAGAAATTAAATTGCTATTCGGTAATGTATATGTAACTTCACAGGACCGGAAAGCACTCGATATATCTATTTTCCTAAATAATCGTTATAATAATCATATTATAATTATAAAAACATGTTGTCTGGAAGATTTTGATATAATAAATCGATTGGTAACACTTTCAAATCAATAAAATAAAGTTTTCATGTATTACTTTGATAAACTATATTGCTATTCGGTAAAGTACATGTACCTTAGCAGGACCGGAAAGCACTCGATATATCTTATTTTCCTAATCAAACGTAATAATAATCATATTATAATTATAAAAACATGTTGTCTGAAAAATTTTGATATAATATATCGATTGGTAACATTTTCAAACCAATAAAATAAAGTATCCATGTATAACTTTTATAAACAATACATGTATTGCTATCCGGTAATGTACATGTATCTTAGCAGGACCGGAAAGCACACGATATATCTATTTTCCTAAATACTCGTAATAATTATCAATATATTTTTATAAAAATGACTTGTCTGTAAGATTTTTATCTAATAAATCGATTGGTAACACTTTCAAACCAATAAAATAAAATTTTCATGTAATAACTTTGATAAACAATATTGCTATCCGGTAATGTACATGTATCTTAACAGGACCGGAAAGCACTCGATATATCTATTTTCCTAAATACTCGTAATAATTATCAATATATAAATATAAAAATGACTTGTCTGAAAGATTTTAATCTAATAAATCGATTGGTAACACTTTCAAACCGATTAATTAATGTTTTCATATGTTTTTATGAGAAATTTGAGTGCTTTCCGGTTTTTCGGTGCTATCCGGTGCTTTCCGGTTTTTCTAAGCCCTTATGCACCGGCCATTTTTCCTGAACAACGTAAAAATAGGCCAAAAAACTTCCCGATCGGGAAGGATTTTGACGTTTACTGCCTGATCGGGAAGCCTTGAAGGGGAATCCCCTTGTTTCTCGATCAGGAAGTATGCCCGACTGATAAAATACATATTTTGTGAACATTCAATGAGCCGTACCCCTTTGTTTGCTTTAAAACGCAGGTAAATCGACGTAGATCTACTCTGAAATTAAAATTAAAAACAAACACACACACACACACACACACAAATGCACCTAATAATACTCACCGTCATTTTTTATTTAACCTAAACAATCTGTATGAAAGGGTAAAAAGACCAAAAATATAATAAACACTTAAGTTGTTGTTGTTGTTGTTGTTGTTGTTAAAACCGGAAGAGTATTACTAATACAATTACACTATAAAACCTGTAAACGTTGTCGTCTCTTACTGGTCTGCAATGACGTAAACATGGCGTGCACACGTATTGGCTATCGGCTGTGCTCGTAATATCCCTCGCATGTCGCGTGTGCAGAAGTAAATAAGCTTATTATTTATATGACACTGGAATTTCCAGTGTTCATTCTTTAGCACTATGTCGAAAGACATATAAAAGACGGACACTATTATATCTGGAAGGAAAATCAGTGTAGGAATATAATTGGAACCACTCACCGGGAAAAAGATTAGCTCTATGAAGAATGATCCCGAACTAATAAATGAAGAATCTGAAATATATAGATCCACTTCAAAAAAAAAACAAAAAAAAAAAAAATTTGTCTGCTTATATATTGTCTGATTTTCTCAAAATCAACTTGTCGAATATCTAATCAAGTTCAGGATTTTCATTTATCATTTCAAATAACATAACTGAGCTAGTATTCAACGTCAACTTCAACGGGGTTTCTCGACAAAATCCACGAGGTAGACATCGACGTCGAGGACGTCACTCCGGATCATAGCAGTAAGCCACAGAGAATATACCAGAGCACGGTTTAGCAACATTATCGGTCCTCGACAGGCTGTTAAGCAGTTTACTAGTACTAGTTGCTTTCACTTTCGCATGGACCTGCATGATTAATGTACAGTGCGAATGACCGTAGAAAATATTTCATGATCAATCACAACGAAAGTGATCTGCATCGTACGGGAATCGAACCCAGGTCGCCTGATTCACAGCCAAACGCTCTACCTATTGAGCTAACTGTACGGACTATCTGTAGTCTACGCTTTAATGAGGGACACCAAACTATATTTCTTTATGTAAAAACTGTGAACTTTTAAACGATAGTGTTATGGCGCATGTGATATGCTTTTGTACAAAAAACTCTGCAATTAAGGAGAAAACAATTATGGGATGCAATAATTCAATCGAAAGGCATGGATATATTCTTATCCCTTACAACAACAACAATAGAAAGTCAGTGCTGGCGCGTTGTTCAGTTTGCTGCAGATAATGATGGGAAGATATTGCACAATTACAGTATTGCAAAATGCCTATACAAGTTGTTCAAGTATATATAATTGCATTATTGTGAGACATTAACGTATAACGTCTTAAACACTGATATGATCTCATAAAAAACTATCATTATCTATCTATGTTTTTATAATTTGTTTTTTTTCCTCGGTTGGAAATAATTCATCGTAATTATATAACAGTATGATAGGTATTGTAACATTGAATGTCGTCTTTTCTTAAACACCATCAATTTACAGTTGGTTATATTCCTAGAGTACCTTTAAATACTCTAATAACTTAGTCATCATTTTGCTATTTCGTTTCGAGTAAAATTTTGACAGAAGTAACCGAAGAAAGATATGAATAAACATGAATTCTCAAACTAAGCTTTAGCAATTAAATATATCTTTTGTATCCTGTATACTTTATAATTTGATAGTCAACTTCTAGTTTTTGCAGAGTAAATACAAATTATACGATGTGGTTTTTATATAAATGAAGTCTGTTACATACATTTTATGTCATTCTATGAGATAAATGCAGATATCAGCATATCTCCATATATTTTTTCGATTATAACAAATGATATTTGCTAATTCTATCTATCTATCTATCTATCTATCTATCTATCTATCTATCTATCTATCTATCTATCTATCTATCTATCTATCTCCAGCTATCCATCTATCCATCTATCCATCTATCCATCGATCCATCGATCCATCCATCCATCTATCTATCAGCCCTTACAGGCACTGAGAATATGGACCTCGGACTGTCACCAGTCATAACGTTTGTATAGTTAATATACACGACTCGGGCCAAGTTTTGCAGAAATCTAACTTTTTCTCTAAAAAGGAAGTTTGTTGTATTATAAATTCATCATGAATATGACAGGTTATATATGACCGTATTTATATAAACAGTTGTTTGCAATATAACTCGGGTTATCTTTCCAAACAACCGTTTGTATAGGGACATTAACCTGTCAAAATCTGTAATTCTAATAGTATAACAGAAAAAAAATACATATGCAAAACTATGCCGGCTATTTTATATATCTATGGTAACAGTACGCGTAACTTTAAACAGTTTTTCGTGACTTCCATGCTCTAGTCAAAACTTATAAATATACATGAATTTTCATACACCTGAGGGTTATTCAATAAGTTTCAATTTGAAATAGTTTAAAGATCCTGTATGCTTTGTGATTGATATTATTACTTTGTGAATACCACACTTGCAAAAGTTATATATGTAAATAATTATGCAAATAAAACAATTTTCAAACATCAAAGAATATGTAAAATGTGTACTGCAAATATTTATGCACATTATTTTTAATCAATAAGTTACATGCATTCATTTCTTATTTGAAAATTTGACTTAGAATTTATGGAAAATAAATTTCTAATTACCTCCTTTTGATTACATGAAATGTTATATTGAGAAATATCTTTATAAATAATGCTTATTTGAACTTACAATATTGAAAAATCTTAATTTGAGCATCATATTTATGAAATAAAACCATGAAAAAAATGTGTTACAGGACCAGGATGTATTTGTTCATTATAATTTTTGTAAAGCCTAACATTATTTTTGTCATTTTGTAACTTCCCTTTATTGTTCCCTGCGGTCTGAAGGTATTGGTACGCGTTTAACTTTTGAGGCATGGAGGAGCACGTGACCTGTTTTAGGTACATGGAGGAGCATGTGATATGTAAACCGTACATGATTGGTAAATTGACCTTTTCGAAAACCTAGCTAAATACTGTTTGCCGGTATGTTACGGATTTACCTCTAGGAAATTAGTCCGAATTACACCTAATTAACAACAAAAAACTATTACGTGGTTTTTCTAATTTTCTATAATTATTTTACCGTT